ATAATTTAAAAAAAAAAGAAAGAAAGAAAAGAAATAATTGGCATAAAATTCTATGGGTGTATGGCATAAGATAACTCTCTTATACAACACGAGGTTATTATTTCCCTTTATCTATTGCATATATTTAGTTTTCTTCAATTATGAAGCAATTTCAACCTCGGCAAAAGATGGTTGTTGTTAGAGCAATTGGCTTAGAAAAATCTATTCTCTTAACAGATTTTTAAGAGAAGTTCCAAATACTAAGAGAACATTGGCGAAGTATACAAAGCTTGTGCATGTTTCTCAAACAAGGATACAAACAATTGCTCATACTTTTTCCCAAAATAATGACATATTTCTTTTGGTTGATCCATTTAATGTTATAGATGCACCTACTGCCACAAAATTGTGTGATGAATACATCATGGTTATTCTTTACAGTGATGAAACTGAGACGCTCATATGTCCCTACGTTATTGCTCAATGTATCATCTTTAACCCAGGTGGTAAAGCAACTCAACCTCGTGGACGATGTTGGTTTGAAGGGGGATAGAATGTAACAATAGTATCCAATATTAGTAATTCTAAAATATTCTACACATGAGCTGTTAGGGTGTGTGTTGTATATATAACAACCCTTGGAGTGTATATATACGCATGAATTGGATAATGAAAGAAAGCAAGAATTACCTAAAAATTTCCCACTTCTATTCTCTCTTCCTATTATCTGAAATCATCTTTTCTCCTTCAATTATCTTTCTTTGTAATCTCTTCTTTTTACAGATCTAGTTAAAGGATCTGTTAGACATTAGTAATTTAAGAAAAAAAATCTACAAATCTTCTATTAACAATTGTCCATAATTCGACCATTTTTAATTAGAAAATTCTGTCACAAGTTGACAATGACATGAAGAGAGATCCACATTGAAGACTAAGACGAGATCACCATTAGAGACATTTGTAGTCCTTCTTTTTCAAGATTAATTCATGATTTTATTCTTTTTATTAAATTGATATGTGTTTTCATGAGTAATTATATTCCTTCTTTGCTAGGATAAAGATGTTACTTTGTTTGATATAAGTTCTGTTCTATTTTTTTAATAGGTAATTTTTTTTTAATTCAATTGAACGTGTTATATTTGTTTTTAAAGCTTTTACAAATTCGACACTCATACATTAATTTTTTTTTGTGTGTAGGAAATTGAAAGATTTATGCAGACTTAGGGAGATTATTTTGTGCTCAAGGAGCACTTGGTGGGATGGATGAGAGACAGAGGAAAAAAAGAGATTGAAAAAAAAGGAGAGAAGAGTTTTTTTTTGTCCAAGTGTCACTTTCTTAATCCGAGAACCACAAACACTAGGACCATTAAATTTTTTTCCATGGACTTGAACCATCGATAAACACCATATTTCAAAAAAAATTTATACAATTTAAAAAAGTTTTTCCTATGAGCTTTTAGTTTTTGATATTTTTTTCATTAAAAAAAGCTCTTTTTATTATAATAATTTTTGTAAAAACATATTGGCTTAACTTGTGTTGGAGAAGAGAAACTACAAATAAGAATATCCAAACCAGCGCTTAGAAATATAATGACAAGACTCTGAACAGCTGGCTTGCTACGTTTAGACTAATTAATCACACCTGGCCAAAATATCTAAGTTGGTTAACAAATGTAAGTTGCTGCCAAAATATGAAATAATTTTTTTTTTTGAATTACAAGGAAAACAGAAAAAGACAAACTAATCACTAATCCATCTAGGCACCTCAGTGCCTATACAATCATTCTCCAATAAACTCCTGCACCCTAGTGGGGGACTAACCAGCCAAAGGACTTCCCAACTTGGAAGCACACTATAAGTACCCAGCCAATCCGCCAACTGATTGCCTTCTTTATAGACATGGCTCAGCTCCAGCTTCCAACATTTAGACATAAGGATTTTGATTCTATTCACAATCTCAAAACAGGGATGTGAGCTATTACATCCCTCTTCCACCAAATGGAGAGCCATCTTCGAATCACACTCCACAATAACCTGCTTGAAACCGGACTCCCAAGCCCAATCTAAACCTGTATATATTCCCCACAATTCAGCTAAAAGCACAGAGCCTGGCCACAGTTTCCTTACAAAGCCCATAATCCAATGGCCCCATTCATCCCTTATAACTCCCCCACAAGCAAGTCTATTACCATCGTCCTTACAAAATCATCAGAGTTAATTTTGATCCACCCACTAGAGGGGCCTTCCATCTAACCAATATCTCTTTGAATTTAACTAGAGCCAGTCCAGCTTCAGATAAGACTTTCGCAGCCAATAGAACATCACCAATAAAAACAGATACCTGGAAGAACAACTCCTGGGGAGAGCATCTTTTATCATTGAATATCAAGTTATTCCTCTCCTTCCATATGTACCAGCAGATAACTCCAAATTTCACACTCCACTCTCCATTGTGCTGCCTCTTTTTTATGTTATCCAGAATCCAATCAGTTAGGCTCAAGCTGAGAAAAGCATTCAATCCATCTCTGTCCACCCATAGCTTCCACACTTCCTGAGCCCATGGACATCTCCTGAAAATGTGATCAGCATCTTCCAAAGGGAACTGACATCTAGGACAAGCAGCTGCCTCTGTCATATGCCTACGCCGCCTCTCTGCATTAGTGAGCAACCTGTTACCAACAAACAACCAAAGAAATAATTTGACACGTTGGGGGCCCTCCCATTTCCAAACCAACTCCCAATCCACAAAATTAGATGTGATAGTCCGAGCAGTCAAAGCCCTGTAAGCTGAGCTAACTGAAAACATTCCAGAGCTGGAAAATTTCCAATTAACCTTATCTCGACCCTCACTGCTGGAAGAGGGAATTACATCAGCAATAATTGATAGAACTTCATCCGAAAGATAAGGACTGAATTTATCCCATTCCCACTCTCCATTAGTAACATATTCAGCTACCTTTCAATGTTGAAACTCCTCAGGGAAACTGACAGAGACCTTATCTAACAGATTACCATCACATGGCAACCAATGGTCTAGCTAGAACCTGGTAGATTCCCCATCCCCAAGGGAAATTCTAGTACCTTCCTTGACTACCTCCCAGGAATTTTGTATGCCCCTCCAAGTATTAGAGACATTCCTACAGCAATTTAATCTAGGCATAAGATCATCCCCCACTTTATATTTGCTGCACAGTACCTTGGCCCAAAGATCATCCCTGTTAGCTAGCAAACCAAACCCCAACTTCATAGAGAAAGCCTTGTTAACATGGTTCTGCTCCCTAAAGCCCAGGCCACCTTCTTTTTTTGGTCTACAAATCTTCTTCCAGCTCACCAAATGGGTCTTCCTATGCTCCTTAGTAGAGCCCCAAATAAAACTCCTAGTTAATTTCTCAATCTCAGAACATATGCCACTAGGAACAACAACTGACTGCATAGCATAGGAAGGTAAGGCTTCCAGAACAACTTTTGCAAGAACAGATCTCCCAGCAAGGGAAAGGGAAGACTGGTTCCAGCTGGACAGTCTTCTGTGAACCCTATCCAGGACAAATTTAAAAGAATTCTTAGTAACTCTTTTATGATGGAGAGGTACCCCTAGGTACTTGCCCAAATCAGCAGTGATCCCAACTCCCAAGGACTCACTAATCTCACTGGATCTACTAACATGGACATTTTTGGAGAAAAACACCCGAGTCTTTTCACTACTAACTTTCTGGCCAGAAGCTTCAGTGAATACCTTTAAGACCTGGTTAATCACATGAGCTTGTTCAATGCTAGCTTCAACACATATGATTAGATCATCAGCAAAAAACAAATGTGAAATAGGAGGAGCACCCTTTCTCAGGATAATAGGCTTCCAAGCACCAATATCCACTGCCATATTAATGAGATGAGAGAGTCTCTCAATACACAAAACAAAGAGATAAGGGGAAATAGGATCCCTTTGCCTTATACCCCTGCCAGGTAAGAACTTACTTGTAGCTACTCCATTCCATAAAAGGCTTAAGGAAGAAGTGGATATACAACTGAGGATTAACTGAGAGGTAGACTCAGGGAACCCAGCATCCTTCAAAGTATCCAACACAAACTTCCAACTAAGCCTATCATAGGCCTTTTCTAAATCCACTTTGATCATCATCTATCCTTTGTTTCCTTTTCTACTACGCATGGAATGGATGACTTCCTGAGCTATGATGATATTATCAGTACCTTGCCTCCATTTTATGAAGCTACAATGGTTTGGAGAAACAATTCTAGGCATCAAATTTCTCATTCTTTCAGCTAAAGTCTTAGTGATAGCTTTATAAATCACATTGCAAAGGCTGATTGGGCGAAAATCCTTCATGCTACTAAGACTATCCTTCTTAGGAATAAGACATATCAATGTACCATTAATATCTTTCACCTTATCTCTCAGCAATTTGCTTATACACTTGGAATCCCATTGGCTATGAAATAAGATAACACTCAATCCATCTGGACCAGGAGCTTTAAATTTGCCCATCTTAAAAATAGTCTTCCTTATTTCTTCCTTACTAGGAATAATAGACAAAGCTGCTCTGTCTCCATCAGACAAGATAGGGAACATATGCTGAATAGGGAAAGAACCATCACACTCCTCATCCATTCTAAACAGATCCTGATAGTAGGAGATAGCATATGGACAAGCTCATCAGAATCAGTGATCCACCTCCCCTGGTCATTCTGAAGAGCAACAATGCTATTAAATCTTCTCCTTGCCACTGTGGAAGAGAGTGAAAAAACTTAGAGTTTTTATCACCATATTTTAACCATTGAATTCGAGACCTTTGGAACCAAGTCAATTCCTCACAAAGAAGAATAGATTGCAGCTCCTTCCAAAGAGATTTTTGAAGAATCTCCAAGTTATGATCATAATAACCAGCTCTGTAACTCTCCAACCCCTTCAACCGAGAATAAATTCTGTTTTTCTGAATCATGTTCTTCCTAAAAACATTCTGGTGCCAGTTTTTAGCTACAGTCTCAAACTTGTTCCTAGCTGGGATTCACCCCTCATTATTCTCCCAACTATCCTTGACCAGATTACCGAACTCTGGGACAGTGAGCCAAGCTGCAAGAAATCTGAAGCTTCTAGAGTAATCCCTAGGCCTAGCCTCATCACCATTTGCCACCAGAATAGCTCTATGATCCGAATCAAAGAAAGGCAAATGAGATACAAATCTATTAGGCCAGGCTAGGTTCCATTCTTCATTAGCACAGGCTCTATCCAAACGTTCTTGGAGTCTACCCCTCTTCCAAGTGAAATCAGGTCCTTTGAAACCCAAATCAGAAACATTGCACCCAAAAAGACACTGTTGCAACTCAGACATACTACTCCAACAGATCTCCTTACCTCCTATCTTCTCAGAGCAAGATAAAATGGAATTAAAATCGCCCATCAACAGCCAAGGGATGTCCACCAAGAGGCTTATGGAAATTAATTCTTCCCGAAGGATTCTCCTCTCAAGTCTCCTAGGATTACCATAGATGAATGTAATGAAGTCAGTCTTCAGAGAGTCAAGATAGTGAACCCTTGTATGCACAAATTGGTGATGAGTCTGTAACACATCCAGTTTCACCTTTTTCTCATCCCAGAGCAACCACACACCCCCTGAGAAACCCACATGATCCTGTCTGAAATGGCTCGAAAGCCCCAATTGGTTGATGATCCTATCACCTCTAGATCCACCAACTCTAACCTCCAGCAAAACCAAAACACTGACTTTAAACCTGTTATTTAGATCTCTAATAAGGGGAGGGAAGCTTCTCTTCCCTACCCCTCTACAATTCCAACATAAAACAGACATGAAAATTAATATTAAAAGAAAAACAAAACAAAACAAAACAAAAGGTACGACTCCAAAGCCATACCTAGGCACTCAAGGAAGAGGAGCTCCCCACCAAGGAGGGAGGAATATCAAGCACCAAACCATGCTGTTTAGGAGAAGTAATCCCCAGGGAATTCTGCCCAGCTACACTCAAGCCCTTCTTAGCTGCCATGCTGTTCCCATCCTCAACAAAATCTCTTACATCCAAGGTCCCTTTACTTCTAATCCTGAATTTACTGGTCCCTTTGGGTTGGCCCTCAATCCCAGCATTCAGAGGAATATTCTCAACACCTGGCTTCTTTAGAATGGCCTTGGGCTGGATCTTGGCTCGCTCCTTAGGATCCCTAGTTACATTCCTCTTTGCCGGATGATCAGGAGATTTTAAGCTCTTTTGAGCTTTCTCACCAGAAAGAGCTTCCTCCTTAACAGCCACACAGATCCTAGGATCAGTCACTTTAGCTGGAGGAGAACATACAGCAGGCGGACTGATGTCAGAATTAACCACCCCTGAGACTTTGGGTGGGCTTCCTACAGACAGATTCACCCCTATAGACTTAGTGTCCTGTACCACCGCCTCATGAAAATCCTGCTTGACTGGCTTGGCTTTCAACTTACGACTTCTAGCCTGCCTCTAGACAACCATCCAGGTACCAAATGCTTCCCCCTGATTCTCCTTGGTCACCTCACTCACAGGCTTGGCATTGGAAGGAACAACTTGCCCCTTACTGGACTCTTCCACGGTAGTCTGAACCTCTGGAGCTTGGTCCGCTGGGCATTGATCCCTCCTGTGGCCATACAAGCCACACTTGAAGCAGACGAGGTGTAATCCCTCATATCCAACATGATAGATCTTGCTCCCTATGGTAAACTTCGAAAGGAAACTCTTTCTCAAGTCAACTTCTACACAAATTCGAGCAAATTTGCCTCTCTCTGTGATAACAGCATCACCCAATTCATTTTTTCGAAGTGAATTTCGATCCACCTTCAGCGTTCTACCAAAGAAATTCCCAATTCTCCATAGGTGGCGAGGTTTGTACACCTCAATGGGCAAACCCGGAATCCTAATCCAAACAGCAACTTTCCTAAAATCCTCATCATAAGGATCAAAGAGTGGCCTCCAACGTTGAACAATGACATAGTGATCATTCACTATCCACGGGCCCTCTTCCAGCACATGACGATAATCATTGTCATCTTGGAATCGAATAAGCAGATATCCATTATCTAAATCAATCAGCTCATAGGAACTTACCAAACACCATAGCCTCACAAGTCTGGACATTAGGAATCTAGCCCCAATCCGCTTCCCTAACATCTTGATGATGAGAGCCTTCCTCCATTGTTCACAATCACGCTTGTGTTCCTCTACGGGAATAGTGTAGCGCGGGCAGAGTGGATCATCAGGAAGGACCTAATTAATCCCCTCCAACAGATCAGCCTCTTCTTCTTCCTGTTTCTGAATAGAGATCCAGTCCTCTTCGACGACATCCAGTTGACCTCCCAGACCATTTAAACGAAGGAGTTTATCCCTGTAAGTCACTACTCGAGGCTGGGTGCTGCACTTCAGATCCCCTTTTACTCTTTCCGGTAGCCCAGAAGCAACCGGTGAATTTTCAGAACCTCCATCTCCTTTGTCTTGCATGGTCTCATCCATGACTAGATCCTCCACAGCCTCACCCTTCGGCTTCTTCCCACACCGTAGCAAACGATCGTCTTCAGCTTGGCCTCTATTTCTAGAAGCCTTGACATCGTCCTCCTCCATCGAGTCCTTCGAGATCACAACCTCAGCTTCCATCGATAGCACAAAACACAAGAAACAGAATACCAGAACCCTAGCAGAGAGCAAGAAATCGCGCGCGTGGATTTACGCGCCCCAGGTAATCACAGGTTAACTATTAGTGAAATTTTATGAAATTTTGTCACAAATTCCTACGTCGCAAGTAAATTTCGTCACAAATTCCTACGTCGCAAGTTTATTTGTGACAAAATTTGATAATTTATGTTAAAAATTGTCATTTGTGACAAAATTTATGACGAAACTTTTCGTTACAAATAATTTTTTTCTTTTAGTAAGGATATATGTGGTTTATCCAAAATTTCTATTCTATCCTAAGAATCATAGACTTCAAAGGAGAGAATTGTCTCCTTCATAAGTCATTTACTCCTATATAGGAAATATAATTTCTCATGTTGCATGAGATAATTTATCTCATGCACATACAAAAAAGTATATGAGACCTACTAAGGAGAAGAAAAAGAAAGAAAATAAGTGGGTGTTATACTCTCAAGGAGAGAATGGTTCAAGAACTGGGAAGAGAGAGAAAACTTTATTCATATTCATACTGATAGCACTGTTACACCCTTATTTATACATGCAGTCAAGCTATATTGCAATACACGGAAAGCTATTGGTAACTAACTATATTTTGAACTAACTTCTAGCTTCTTCTACACGTCACAAAGACGACCTTGAATTAAGAACAACAATGGGTGATTGTATGGGACGATTGCCAATTCTCTTAGATGATGGGGTTAAGGGTGCTTCTGATCTTGTTCCAATATACTTCTTTAGTAACAAAATATGAAACATGGGATGTATTCGACAATCTTGGGGTAATGAAAGTCGATAAACCACGGGGCTAATAACCTCTGCAATAGGGAACATGCCGAAAAAATGTTTGGCTACCTTGTGATTGGATCTTCGAACCACGGATACTTGACGGTGATATTGCAACTTCAAGAGAACCAAATCACCAACTTTAAATGAACGATCAGAACATTTTATATTTGCTATAACCTTCATGCACTGTTGAGCTAGAGTTAAATGAGCTTTGAGATTTCTCAAAGTTCATTATCATCAATAAGAAGGGAGTTCAATGCCTCTACCCCCACTAATCCACGAGGATATAAGGGAATTTGAGGATGTAACTTTCCATATAACGCCTGAAATGGTGTCATTTTGATTGATGAATGAACTGGGGTGTGGTAATGAAGTTTTGTCTATGCCAATACAGTGTACCATCGATTGTTTTGGTCATGACAGTATGCACACAAGTATTGCTCCAAGTAGCGATGACCTCTGACTACCCATTCGATTGAGGATGATATGTAGTACTCATACGTAATTTGGCACCACTGTATTCGAAAAGCTTATGCCAAAATTTAGTTTAAAAAATAGCATCTCGAGCAGACACCAGCGAATGAGGAAAGCCATATAACTTTACCACCATTTCAACAAACAATTGTGCAACCAGAATGTTGCGACTCACGGCAAGTGCACCGATCATACAAGTAATATAATGATAAAGTAGGATATCGTTCCCACGAGGATTAAGGTTCAAGCACTAATTCACTATCGCGACTTAAGTTGGACAATCAAAGTTGTATTTGGAAAGAGTTTGAATTTGAAATTTAAAATATTAAAACTAATTAATCGCAAGAATTTAAAAGCAAGAAATTAAAGATTTGAATGAACTAATGTAAAAGAACGTAACTAGGGTTTCGATTTCCTTCAATCTCTTTATTACGTTTGAATTCCTTCTTTACGTTAATCGTCCTTAATATCAATCTAATCGATTCTTTCTTATGTAATTAGGGCTCAATCCCTTGTTATCCTAAACCTTTACAGTCTTGCAAGAACCCTAGTTCCCCGGTTATTTCCCAAGAACGTAAGCATTAAGTTCAAGAACCTTAAAGATTACGCAAACTCTATGTCTATCCCTAGAATCATAAAGCGTATGATGAAATTATCAGATAAGGATTACACACCAACATTCCTATTGTCATGCATTTACCTAAGATCAATATATAAGATTCAAGCTCATATAAAGCATTAAAAACAGATAATTTCATTCATGATAAAAAGAAAAATTAACATACGAATTGTTCTAAGCATAATAAAGATCTTGAATTTCATCTAACCCTAACTACTTAAGAATCTAGCCAGACATAGCAATATCAAGAACGAAAGAAAATAGAAAAGCTCCCCCAAACTCCATAGATGATTGGTGAATCTTCAATATCCCCAGTGCAGACTTGATGTTGATCCGTCTCTGCCGCTCACGAACATGAACCGATGAATCTTCCGCGTTTCCTCTGCTCCGAACTACTACGAACTCTTTTTGAATGTCAAAAACTGATTAATTCTGACCCCAAATGTGTTTTTAAGGGCAAAGAATTCGTGCCCTAGGTGGACACCTCGAAATGAGCCTAAGTTGGGTTTCTGGGGCGCTTAAGCTTGAATCAGCGTGCTTAAGCCCCTAAGATTTGCATGGAAAATTAACGTGGCGCGCTTAAGCGCACTTTTCGAGCTGGAAATTCCTTCTTGCAGCGCGCTTAAGCCCAAAATTTGGGGCTTAAGCGCCCAAAGGCAGAGAACATTTGCGTATTTAGGAGGCTTTAGCTTCCTAATGGGGGCTTAAGCCTCCAAAGGCAGAGGCCATTTGCTCTTTGATTGGCATTTCTGGACTTCTAGGGGCTTAAGCCTCAATATGGGGGCTTAAGCCTCCTCTTCAACAACTTGATAATCTTGATTTTCTTTAGATAGATCTTCAAATTTTCTGGTTTGATCTTCATCTATCCATATCTTCATATTTGTTTCCTTTCATCTTCAAATCCCTTAAAAATAGCAAATATATAATAATTAATTCATATTTCATAAACTTCAAGATTTTATGTCAATAAACCCTAGATTTCACTTATTTGACTTGATAATTCATGTGATTTTAGTCCATAAAACAAGATAAACTAAAGGTTTATCACAGAACAACTGTGAATTTCCTAGGTAAGGGACTGAAATGCGCAAACTTGGTTAGACGATCAACTACAACCAATATCATCGAGAATCCCTTAGAAAGAGGGAGACCAGTTATGAAGTTTAGAGTGACATCTTCAAAGGCACCCTCAGGGATGGGGAGAGGTTACAACAGCGCTGTTAGAGGGGCATTGATAGGCTTGATACATTGACAAATATTGCAACTCAAGACAAAATCAAAGACATCTTTCTTCATATGTGGCCAAAAGAAATTAACTGATAATCAAACTAAAGTTCATAGCATACCAGCATGACCTCATGATAAAGAAGAATGGGCTTCATTCAATAAGACATCTTTAAGAGACGATGAGGACCCCAACAAGAAATGATGCTTGTGATATAGAATACCAGCTCTTCGTGAGATAGAAGGAGGCATCTTTTCACCTTTGTCTATACGTGAATGCAACACCACTAGTTATGGGTCCGATGAATTCTCAACTTTGATATGAGATAATATCTCAAAGAAGGGTTCGAATAAACTAACACAACATGCTCCAAGTAACACCGAATCATACTGACGAGAGAGGCTATCAACAACCACATTTATCGAACCTGGTTTGTATTCCACAGAGAAAGCATACTCCATTAGCTTAGAGACATATATATGCTGAGCAGGAGTTTGAATTGTCTGAGATAAAATCTTTTTGATACTTTGATGGTCTGTACATATTACGAAAGACACTCCTAACAAGTACAGACGCCAACGCTTCACAGCCTCAACAATGGCATAAAGTTCACACTCATAGGTTGATGCTTCTACCATGTGTGGACCATACTATCGACTGAAATACGAAATAAACTTTTCTTGTTGAAGCAAAACAAATCCTATACCTAAGTTGGATGCGTCAATTTCAACAAGAAATGGAAGAGAGAAGTTAGGTATTGCAAGAATAAGGGTTGAAGCCATGGCTGTTTTTTAAAAAACAAATGCTAATTCTACCTCTAAGGACCAAAACCATTTGTCAACAGCTAGCAAATCAATTAAGGGTGATGCTATGAAAGCATATCCACACACAAACTTCCGATAATAGCCGGTAAGACCTAGAAATGTTCGAAGTTGTTTGATTGATGCAGGTGTGGGGTGTAAGAACCCGCACCGTTAATTAAGAGATTTAATTAATAATTATGAGTTTAATGAGATAATTCCATAATTGACCCTAATAATTATGATAAGTCTTATATAATTATGGTAAGTGATTAATAATGTTGAAAGTCGCTTTTCTGACGAAAAGTGCAGATACCGATTCTGCTCACGGTATAAGTGCGTACCGATGAAGTATCCCGGAAAATTATAATAAGTGCATGAATATTCCTAGAATAATATATAGGACCGTGATTTCAAGTCTCAAGTTAAAATAATAAGAACTTGTGTCAGAACTGTTACTGGCTATGTAAAAGCGCGTACCGGAAAGGTGCTGCGAAAAAATATAAAAATATGACAAATCTTAGAAAAATGAGTAGGTTCAGAATCCTGACTTTGGGATTAAAATGCTAAGCGTAGC